ATTTCTTGTTTTTCATTAATTACAAGACATTCAGATTTTGAGAAATTGAGCTTGAATCCTAGATCACACAATTGACTGATACTAATGAGATTAGCAGTCAGCCCTTTTACCAGCAGTACTTCATTCAGACTTGGAACTCCAGGGCAGTCCAAATTACCAACTCCTTTGATTTCACCTTTAGCACCATCTCCAAAGGTCACAAAACTGGTGGTGTGAGGTTTAACATTATTGAGGAGGTTCTTGATTCCAGTCATGTGTCTGGAACATCCACTGTCAAAGTACCAGTCTTCCTTTGCAGAGACCCTCAGGGAAGTGTGGGCTATCAGGGCAGTAGCCTTTTTCTTCCATTTAGGAGCATGTGGTACCTTTTTAGACTTAGGTTTGACACCTGAGTTCTGATTAGGGTATCCATGCAATCTGAAGCAGAAAGGCTTTATGTGGCCATATCTCCCACAATGATGACATCTCCATCTTTGGTACCTTTTCTTCATATGTCTCTGTTCCTGATGTTGAGAGTTGTGTTGAGACGTCTGTTTTGACATTTGCTTATCAGGCCCGATCTTCTTATCTGTACCAGATTTCTTTGCTTCCATAAATCCTAGTCCAGATTTATTTCCCACATTTTGTCCAACCTGAAGGATCTCTTCCAATTTGTATGTTCCATTAGTCAGCATCTTGACAGATTTGGTCATTTGATTCAGTTGTGAGTTCAGCAATTGAACTTCCCCTTCTAGATGACTTATAGTTTCAAGGTTTGCCCTTTTTTCAGCCTCTAACTTTATGATGAGTTTTGATTGTTTCTCATTCTGCACACAGACTTCAGCACTTCTAATACACAATTTCTTGTAGGTATCAGCCAGTTCTTCAAATGTCACTTCTTCATCACTAGTGTCACTTTCAGAGGTACAAACACCAGTTAGAGCAGTAACTAGTTTGGCAGATTCTTCTTCAGAATTACTTTCTGAATCACAGTCAGACCAAGTAACAGTCATTCCTTTCTTTTGTTTCTTAAGAAAGGTAGGACATTCAGCTCGAATATGCCCATATCCTTCACAACCATGGCATTGAATTCCTCTGCCTTGATTTCCCTTCTCTTCTGACCTTGGTCTTCTGTTGGAACTGTCAATGTCAGAGGGAATGTTATGAACATTAGACCTTGACTTTGGATCTATTCTTTTGATGAGTTTGTTGAACTGTCTTCCAAGCATGGCTATAGCTTCTGAAATATTTTCTTCTTCATCCTCCTTGTTTTCAACATCAGTGTTGGATACAAGTGCTATGCTCTTGTTCTTCTTGTCACCATTTTCAGTGATCCCCATCTCAAAAGTCTGAAGAGACCCAATTAGTTCATCCACTTTCAACTTGCTGATGTCCTGGGCTTCCTCTATGGCAGTTACCTTCATAGCAAATCTTTTAGGCAAGGATCTGAGAATCTTTCTCACCAATTTTTCTTCTGACATCTTTTCTCCCAGTGCTCCTGAGGTGTTGGCAATCTCCAAGATGTTCATGTGAAACTCATGAATGGTTTCATCTTCCATCATTTTTAGATTCTCAAACTTGGTAGTCAACATCTGAAGCCTTGACATTTTCACTTTGGAAGTGCCCTCATGAGTAGTTTTGAGAGTGTCCCAAACTTCCTTGGCCAATTCATATTGATGTACTAGTCTGAAAATGTTTCTATCAATTCCATTGAACAAGGCATTTAAAGCTTTGGAATTTCCCAGGGCTAACTCATCTTCTTCTTTACTCCAATCTTCCCCAGGCTTCAAACTGATTGTCCCATCTTTCTCAGTTATGGTGGGATGGATCCATCCTTTGTCAGCAGCTCTCCAAGCCTTTTTGTCCAGAGATTTTAAGAAGGCAATCATACGAGGTTTCCAGTAGTCATAATTTGTTCCATCCAGAATGGGTGGTCTATTTCCAAAAACTCCTTCTTTGTCCATAGTGCCAGAAAGTGATATCCCTAGATCTCACCCAGTAATACAGGCAGGGTGCCTGCTCTGATGCCAATTGAAATTCTGGCTGCAGATACTCAATGTCACGTTCAATGTTATGACACCGTATCTGACTTTCTATAAGACAGTAAATACAAAAACAGTAAAGAACACAATCAATTGTTTACCCAGTTCAGTGTGCAACAACACCTACTCTGGGGGCTACCAAGCCAGGGAGGAAATCCACTATAAGAGATATTAATTCAGGAATAAACCAACCAGTTTATCTCCTTCACTTAAGACCTACCCAATGCAACTTCAATCTAAGTACAACTTAAACCTGAGTTCCTACTCACTCCCCCTCAATCACAGCAATGATACATAAAACAATTTGACTAATGAATTGATGAAGACACTCTTCAAAACATACACTTGATTATGCTTCACAGCTTTTTAATCAAGCAACACAAACACTCTTGCTTCACAGCTTTGAGTGATACATAAACCTAACTTGACTTTGCTTCACAGCTTTAGTCAAGAGACATACAAACACTCTTGCTTCAAAGCTTTGAGTGATACACAACCCTTACAATTAAAACCTATTCCAAGTCACTTATCACAATGATAATTGCTTGGATTACAATAGTTAAAACTATACAGCTTCTAAATGATCTTCTGTCAAAAAGGGATACATTCCAAGACAGCAGCTCTGTTGAATATATAGCAGCTGCATCTTCAGTTAGGGTTTCCACAAAAAGCTAGGGTTAATTCCGTTTGACCTTAAGACTAGGTCACAGGACTAGATCAACCAGGTTGGGGTTGAGCTAGGTTAACCCAAAGAAAACGCAGGATTCTGTTCTGGAAAGACTGAGTCATTTTCCTGAAAAAACTCAGAATTAACCAAACTGCATACCTGTTAGTTCAGAACAGGATGTCTTAACATTTGTTATGACATCTGAATTCCTGTTTACTGATTTTGGTAAATGTGATCATTTTGCAAAATGCTCAGATACACACTCATAAACATCAGTACCTGTATGACAATATTTTTCTGCAAAGGTACCTAATAAATCTGTACCTAATAAACTAGAATGTTATGACATCAGTCATGACATTCATACACCTGGTTTTACCAAAAATGCATGCCAATACCTAAACATTTAATTTTTTTAATTGTGTTGTGCATAATTTAATTTCAATATATGAATAATATAATACTTGATTACGAAGGCTAATTCACTAAATTAAGCATTAAGTTCTTAAACAAAATAAAGATAAACATCAACTCATAAATATAACACCTTAGGTCGAAGAAGGCAAAGAAGTAGTCGACAAATTCACATTGGAATGAGATGGATTTTAAGGTTGTGCAAAGAAGGGTCTGCATGGTTAAAAGAAGGCTTATAAATATTAATTGGTACTACCTATACCAACGAGAAGCATCTTCTTTTATATTGCCTAACAAATAAGAACTTCATAGTTAAGCATGCTTGACTTGGAGTAGTATTTGGATGAGTGTCTTCTAGGAAGTTTCCTGGAAAGTGTGTGAGTTAGGACACAACATACTTATCTGAGGCGTTACAAACAATATCAGAGCAGACCCTCCCAATACGATGTGGTTTGGGGGTGAACCAAGTAGAAGTTGATCGGAATGTAGCACCCGAGACCGAAGAGGGTAAATGAGTAGTTGTTGAATTTACATTGGAATGAGAGGGATCCTAAGATTGTGTTGAAATAACTCGTGTTGTTTTGTGGAGTCATTCGGTAATCCTGAAAGAAGTCTGGAGCATTACAATAAATAGAAGAGAAATTACAATAACACAAACCATTACAAAGCAAATGTCTAATATCATACTAAAACCAACACCCCAATGTCATAACCCAAATATGTCCTACCCTTTCATATAGATCATCTGACTTATGCATCTCATATTTCTCATGTACATACCCTCAATTAGGTCATCTGACATTGCATGCATTCATAAACAATAAGGCTTGCTATTTGGATCAATGGCCATGGGATCAGGGTTTTACATAGTGCATTAGGGTTTTCATCTTTTGCAGGTGTTTTTCAATTAAAGAAGCAAAGATAATAGACTAGGGTTCATCCCTTATGCAAGACTATCAGATGAATGTTCAAAGGCTTGATAGTGCATCTCCTTAAGCTCTTATAGTCGACATTCGTTGGCAACACTCAACACATGTGATGCTCCTTGTTGCTTCCAATAAAAGTCACTCACAAGATGCTACCTAATGCTACAAGCCTCAAGCAATTGAAAGTCGTCTCCTAGTATTTGTCATCTCCATATGAATTAGGGTTTATTTCCCTAGTCATGGGGACTTCAAGCTTTCGCATCAGACAAATCTCAAGGAGTTCAATCATGGTTTGTAGTGCATGTCAGTAAAGCAATATTGGTGGCCATATGCAATTACAGTTTTGGTTCAAGGATGTTTTACTATGCAAGGCTTGAGGTACAAGTTTCATTTAAAGGATCTCATCCTTTAAGATAGGGTTCCATTTGATATATCTTTGTCAAACAAGGTGGTATTCATTGCTTAAATCATAAGGCATATGGCTATGACTTTCATAAAAGGAAAATCATGTGAACATATCTCATCAACTAGGTTTGTGGACACTTGATACAAGATATGAAGAGAAATATACTTTTGAAGAAATTATCATTTGAATTCTCAAAGTCACATTACATGTTCAACCAATTATATGCTACATTGCAATACAAGAGAAGGCATTGGGAGAAGTCATTTGAAAAGAGAGATATTCTTGAAGAAATGTATCATTTGAATTCAAAGGTTTATAAAGTTATGCTTCTTCTATGAGATAAAGTGCTATGTTTATTAAGAATTCAAGGCCAATTCACTATGAAAAGTTCATCATATATCAAGATTTCAAGAAGTACATTACACCTTAAGCAATTACAAGTATCGCTACACAAATGTGCCAAGAAAAGCTACAAACTTTTGTTCTAAATCTAATCCCTAACTCTTGACTTCAAACCAATCTCCTTGCTTCCCTCTTCATTTGCTTCAAGTGACCTATATGTTTCAATGTTTCTTCATGGCCAAAAGTTACTAGGTTTCAACCTTCACCTAGCATCAATCTTCAACCATGCTTTTGCTTTCACCTTCATCAACTTCATGCCAAAACAACCATATTAACATCAACATAAATCATTCCTGCATCAAACAGAAAAAAAGAAAGAAAAAAAACAGTTCACTTAATGCCCTACAAAACAGATCCAAAGCAATGCATCCATGAACAACAATACTAGACATGCTCATCATTTAGTAGTTAACAGAAACAATTAACCATAACATGTATTTCGTTTTATATCACCAAGACGGAAAATCATTGACATCAAGACCCTGCATACAACATGTTAACCAGATTCGATTCAGTAAAATAGTCCAAAGCAAATCATAACTCCAATCTCCTTAACTAATTTCCAAGCAAAAATTCGAAACTTACCAACTTGAATCAATACTGCCAGCTCACTAATTCATGGAGACAGCAACATGAGAATATCAAAGAAAAGGCAATTAAATCAGCTCAAGCCAAACAGAAGGAAAAAAAAACTAAACTCAGAAAATTAGATAACAAACTTTCAACAGATGGATCCTTACCATTCATCTTGTACCTAACTAGCAGAATCAAAGGCTAGGATCCAATCTGGTGTAACTAACTTTCACAAGACTTAACTGCATATAAATAACAGAACTCACCTTCAATATCATCATTCTTCACAACTCCAAAAGAATCACCATCATTTACAAAAAATTCTCTGAAAACAACTTCACCTCTCTCGGCACTTTCTCTCTGAATCTTCATCATCTTCATCTCAAAAATTCTATGCAACTGCTATCATCAGCATCACGGCGGAGTTAAATAAGAAGAAGAAGAAGAAGCGAAGGCGGTGAGAGTGAGAAGAGAGATCGCGCCGCTGTAAAGAGAAGAGGAGGGAATGAGTTTTGTGTTTCACGAAGAAGCTGGATGGCCACAAAGAAAAACCCTATCCACATAGCATAAAATGCACCGTTTTGTTACATTTTGTTACTATTATTTTCTTTTTTTAATTCAATAATCTGAAAATAATTGAAATAAAATTTTAAAAAAAAAAAGGCTGAATTGGATATTGTTTGGTTGTTGGATAAAAAAAAAATGGACAGAATTCTTTTCCCTAGGCCCGTTAGTAATTTTTTGGAATCTTGAATCCTAAAGCATGTAACAAAAACTCTCTTCTTGGACCAAACTGCACTAGGCCTAGGCCCATGCCACGTTTTTGAACAACCATTGCTTTAAACACAAAAACTGATTGGACTCAGAATGTGTGGGCCTGGCGCTTTTGCTACCCGGATCCAAGCCTTGCACCTCCCTGCTTGTTTCATTTTGATTTTATTTTCTATTCTTTTCTTTTAATCGATTTTGCTATTGATTTTAATATTTGGAAATAATCAAAAATAGAAATGTCATTATATGTTTAGGGAGTTTATTTTAGAATTTTATTTCAAATATTATGCTATTATTTTCTCTATATTGTGATGATGTTTTGATCTAAAAATTATGCAATATCTCGACGCTTGTTGCTTTCCTTACTCTTGGATCTTTTATCTTTGTCTCGAGTCTTGTGTGAAGATGATTCACGTCCCTTTAATAAGCCTTTAAATTTTAGTTTTGTTTGTTATCATTTTGTCATAAGGTATCGTGAACGAAAAGTCGCTCAGTTTTGCACCCCAACTGAGATCACGACATCATTCTTTTGTTTGCTTTGTGGTGGATAAAGAGTCACTCGGTTTTGCCCCCATCTAAGATCACGACATCGTTCTTCTTGTTTTCTCTGCTTGTGTTTATATGCTTTCACATGTTCCCTTAGGATTATCTTGATTCATTTTAATCTTTGATTAATTTGCATTGAGACTAGACCTTAGAATATCAAACTAAGCATGACAACATAAGTTTAAGTTCCTTTCATCCTAACCTTAGGTCCATGATGTATGACAACATTAGGCTTAACATCCTATTGTACCCCAAAATTTTCCCTCTCAATTTCTTAAGAATTCTCTCACAAGATCTCCATTGATTCAAGACTACACAAGGTTTGATCAGCTAAAGACACCTCCTCAAGCACTGAGCCTCAAAATTAGGGTTTTGGTTTTCTCAAGGAAAATTGGACTTTTGATGCCTCAAATTCCTTTCATGGTTCATTATAGGTCTCCAAGAATGATCATACCAAGTTTCAAATTTTGTATCACAAATTTGCTCAGTCAATTGCTCAGATGACTGAAAATCAACTGTATTGGGTAAAAAGTCAATTATGGTCAATATACAGTCATACATCATAATTTTTGGCCAACATCAACATTTTAAAGTCATATTCATCAATTGATCAAGTTTGGATCACAATTCCTCAAGAAATTTGATCAGATCATCAAAATGGTCAAAACTAGGGTTTTGATTGAGGAGGTTTAATTTTTGAGTTTTGACCTAACACATGAATTGTTGGTTTGAGACATGATATCAAGGATTCAAATGCATCATTTGGACCTAATGGCATGGCTTAAAACATTTCCCAATAATCAATTGATTGATAGTTGAAATTCAGTCAACTGATACAGTGAAAAGTCAAATTTTGACTTTTTTTATCAAAATCAAGTTTCAAAAATCATATTTCATCAAGACATGTCAAAATATGAAGTTTGTTCATCAAGAAATAAAAAAGTCAAAATTTCCAAGACTTAGAAATTTTTCTAAGTGTTTGAAAATTTACTTTTTTTCATGACTTTGTGCCAAATTTTCACCATGATGCAAGATGATTCAAGGAAAACTTCCAACATGAAAGTTGTAGATCTTAATGAGATCTAAAACATTGTAGGATAGAAATTTTTCTAGAAATGCTTGGATTTTAAGCTATAAATTCATAAAGACATGTCCATGAAACAAAAACACTTAGTGAAATTTTTCCCTAGTTAGGAGGATTTTTTACCTAATTTCTTGGCCAAGATTCACATAGTTCCAAATTGAATTTTCAAAAATGTCCACATGAAATTTTTAGAGCATGTTACAAGCTTTCTAAAAAGTACAGTAACTCATTGAGATCATGCTTGAGCTAGAAGTTTTGAAGAGATGAAGATGGCCTCACAAACTTGAATTATAGGTCATTTTCTTGATGAACATTTGAGCAAATCTCAAACCATACTGCATAAATCTTGCTGTGCAGGCTTCAAACTTGATAATCACTCAATAATTAAATGTTTACACAACTGATAGAGCCATTGTCCAAGCATTTGAGCCATTATCCAAGTTGCATTTCCATTTATGGCACAAAGTTACCATTCCATTCTTGAAAAGTTGCTTTAATCACAAAGTCAACTTGTCTTGAGCTTCTAACTTGTTTGTTCAGCACACACTCAATATACAAAGTCAGATAAACATGTTTAAAGCTTGTAACCACTCTAGATAGCCTTGTACTATGCATTGGGACAATGTGTATCAAGCTTGCTTCAAAAACAAGTCAAAGAGCCATAACATGTGAACTTGTACTTCTGATCACCCCAAGCTCTCAAAGCCTTTTCCTATAAATTGAGACACTATTATGCAACTTAGGACACGATTTTGCAAGCCTGAAAACTCTCCCAAACTCCCTCTAGCCAGAAATTGCACACAAACTCAATTTTTGTGCAGGTTCTGACCTTGAACTTGTATCTTTTATTTCCATCGTGTGTTTTACCTCAAAATCATTTTCAAAGCTTCCTTACATCAAATACAACTCCTCACTGTCCTTATTTCCCAACTATAATACCATTTTCTTCATCTTCCATAACCAAAAACAGAGCATTGCAAGTGGACTTCTCTAGACCATTTCAGCCGCTCTCCAATCAAGCTAATCATTGCATTAGCTTCCTGAGGACTCAAGGAAGCTAACTTGATCATTACAGCACCTTGAAACAAGCTTCAACTCAAAACACAAATTCCATTTATAAGGTGAGTTATCTTACTTTTGAACTTTTCATATAGGCATCATTTGATTTCCATTTGTGAAGATAAAATGTAGATATCATAGCCCTGAAACTAACCATGTCCTTAGATTTCATTTATATTGTTTGAGTAGTTTGAATTTTGAATATGAATATCCTGGAAAAGTTAGGTCAAAATTTGGTACCATTATAAATTCTCATTCATATTTGATCTATAACTTTAGTTATTTACATTTCTGGAATCGTGATGAAATTTTACACAACTTTCATGTTTACATTTTTCATTTTGGATGAGAAAGGAATGAGATACAGATGGTTTGGCTGGCGTGAGGTTGAAGATGAAGTTCAGGCCATGGGAGTGTTTTGTATTATATATTTATGGTTTTGTTTTATACACCGGATGTATAGTCACCCCAGTGGTAAGGCAGCGCACGTTTATTGCTCAGGGCGTGGGTTCGAGCCCCAGCGCTGCCACTATTTTTCATATTTTTCTAACATTTTCTTTTGTTTGTTTCCAACCAGCGCGCTTGGGCCTTCCCCTCCTGGGCCTTGTATTTTTTTTACTCAATATGACCCCCCTGATTTCCATAACAACACAACCCACTTCATATTTTCTTTTTTCTTTTTTATCTGACCAAAAATCATATTGGGCCCAAACTAAAACAAAATTGTTTTACTTCCATACACCTTAAATAAATTTCACACCCTTCTGACTTTTATTTTATTTTCTTATCTTATTTTCTTTTATTATTAACATTATTGTTATTTCTATTTTTATTAGTAAAAAAATCTCAAAAAATATTTTTATTATTTATATATTAGTATACTTGTATTTCATTAAGATAAAAGACCAAAAATATTTTCTTATTATAAATTTAATCTCTTTCCCTAATATTAGACCTAGGTTTTAATTTCTTTTAATTAAATTAACTTAGAATTTAAGTTTTCTTTTAATTAATTTTCATACTAGTTTAATTAATATAAAATCTTTTTTTCATACAAAACCCCAAAAAACTTGTTTTCTTTAATAAATTAATTTCTTTTACTTAACTTAATTTTAGTTTTCTTGTCTTAATTAATTATTATTATTTTTAGTTAATTAGGTTAAAACCATTCTCTTAAAAAAAATTCAAAACAAAAACATTTGCCTCTTTCTTTATACATCATATTTATTTCCTTGGCCATATATTTCCTTGTACATTATATATTCCAATTCTTGTACATTTATTCAATATGGTTGTAATAGATAATTAGGTTTTAAATTCTTGCAATCCCCATTTATAATTTGTATACCCCATCCTTAAAAAATGATGTAATAGCGTAGGATATTTACTTTTTTCGCAATTTATCGCTTTCATATAAATGCTAGTAAATTAGAGTTTGTATGGAAAGATAAAATCAATATTTAGAAAACCATAATCCAAGATAAACTCAAGCATGGAATATAATACACTTGCACACTTTACACCTCTAAGGTTTTACTCCACTTTGTTGCCTTAAAAATGGTCATGTTATGCATGTGAGACATCTTAGCCAAAACAAATTAAAAAGACAAGACCATAGTCCCTCGATGACGCTACAACTGTTGCCTTACAAATGATCTTAGTCCCTTAAGAGAAATGCTAAGATATATCACAATATTGCTATCCATGATTATACGATGACCCACACCCGTCCCTTTATATCCAAAGATAAGGCTTCTTACCAATCAATGGTAAGATAGCAATATCAAAGAAAGAGAGAAATGAACAAAAGACTTTTGAGTAGATAGAACGTTCTTAGTTTCTTACTCACAATCCATCTTTGAAACAAAACATCTTGTCAAAACACACCAAACACTTTCAAAAATATGAAATATTTTCAAAAGTCTAACACTCCATATGCATTCTTATATAGACGAGAATCATTACAAAG